CGCTTGAGAGGGCAACAGACAAACTTATTTTAAATGCGAATATATAATATAAATAAATATCGTAAATATATCATACCAAAAAGAATTCAGTTTTTAGCGGCAATTTTTCATTTACTCGTGTTGACATTCACTTCCGCAATGAACCAGATTTGGCTTCCTTTTTGCCTGGGCCATTCCAACTCTTCATCTTGAAGTGGCTCATCCCTCAAAAAGTATAAGAAGTTTTATGGGAGATTTACGCCTCTGGGGAAAAGTGCTGATCTGCATAAACACCAGAGAACCTTCCAAAAATATCCACCTCCATGAACTGAAGTGGGAACAATGTTCAACAAATCCCCCAGCAAAACTCTAGTGCATGCTTCCCAAGCTTAACTATATTATTTATTTTAAGCCCAAGCCTAAGCCTCATCCCGCATGATGTCTGCGCTCTATATCGGAGCATTGAAACGGTAAAATGTTTTTTAGACAGAAATTACCATTTGCAGTCTTTGGTAGCATCCAAAGTACAATCCAAACCAGTCAGAAGTCTTCCCCAAAAAAGGCTCTGACGGAAGCGATCTACGACAAATGGCGTCGCTATTCGTCATGCCTCGTTCAAGGATCGTTGGTTTCTAACCAAAGCGAGGTTTGTCGTTCTCTTCGAGTTTCATTTTGACTCGAGAACAGTCTAGTGGGGCAGGATGAACGTGATGACCTGGATACCAGATGGCCCCGTTACACATGGCACAAACATAATATTTTGAAAAATTTACTTCATTTCTGGAGAACTCTCAGGTAGGAGCATTCTAGAGAACTTCGAGCAACCCTGACCATAAGAACCATAGCTTTTTTATTTCTCGTTACAAAATTAATTTTTACAGATTCTTCTATACTATTACAATTATGTTTATATAAGAGCTGCTCCAATTGCGCGAGCATTTCTCCTTTTTTTAGGCTTCTCTTTTCACCCGCATTTCTTCAAGTTTTGGGTTGAAGCCTGGTATTAGGCTGGTACTCTCTGACTCGTTGGAAGAAACTTCCCATCCAAGTTCATCAGATAAGCCAAATGACTCATATGTGATTGAGGAATTGCGAAAGCCACCGTAGGCTATTTACGTGATCCAAACGGCTGAAGAAGCACGCAAGTTCGTCCGATAACAAAGGGATGGATCCCTAAAGAGAAAATTCAATACGAGGGGAAGGGTCTGAGAGATCTAACACATCGTGTCCTATTCTTCCTCGAATTTTTCTCCGACAACTTTCTTTGAGCAATTATCCTCGAAATTGAATCATCCGAAAAATTCGAATTCCGTCGTAAATTTAGCATTGCGAAGGCACGATACGCCAAAAAAGTGAGGTCACACGATATAGACATCATAACTGTAATTAAGCGGGACACGAAAAACTTATCACAAGAGTCATTTCATCATTTTAATCATTATTCCACTCGAAAAATCAGAAACCTTCAGGTCCAAGAATAACCTTTAGATTTCCTACTGAATGCACTGATACCCGTGGTCCAGCCTCAGACTGAAGCAATGGCCGTTAAATTTGCTCCAAAATACATCAAAGGGCATGGATTCATTTAGAATTCTAAAAATTCATGAATTACAAATGTTGTATGTACTTTTACTACTTCACTAATAGTATTATTCCTTATTAAGCAGTCAAGACATTAGTCAAACTCCATAAGGGCGAGAAATCGTGTTTTGAGTTCATCAATGGAGGCCATGGGTCAGCTTACTATTTTAACCACTTGTGAAATCACTTTTTCAAAATTATTTAAGCCTATAGCCAAAAATGGGCTGCATACTTCTTAAAGACGTGATTTTCCCAGATCATCTCGAGTCCAAGGTGCAGAAGGAGATTAACCTAATTAGGAACACATGTCGGATGTCGAGCAGAGCAAATAGATGATCGCAACCCACCGAAGAGGATACAAGCTTGGATTCATACAAAAGCAGTCAAAACAGAGTAAGAAGCTTGTAAGGCCTAGTAAGCAACTCAACAACTTGCCGGGATCAATCAGTAATGGAAAAGTTAATTAATTTTGATCAAGACAATGTCTACCTCGCTTTACCCTACATGAGCCAGTACTAAAAAAACAGTACAGAAAATTGTCGGTTTATTTTCTTCAAGCATGTACTTATATTTTTACTTACTGCCTTAATTATACTGAAAGCCTGGATAAAAGAAAAGGCGGAAAAAATTTGGTCATGAAACTGGTTCAAAGGAGCTGATGAAGGAGCAGCGACGAGGGACAGAAGTGGACATTTTCCCAAAATCGTATTCTGCTGGTCTTTTTTCCAGTCCAAAAGCTTTTTTTGTTAAAATTTTGATAAATACGGATGCTCTGAAGTTCAAAAAGCCAACAAGAATATTAAAGTAGGGATCTTAAATAAATTCATCGAACTGCTCTAACAATTTCGTGCTTGTACTTTCTACATTTTTCGCAGCTTCCACAAAATGGCATACAGGAATAGAGCAACTATGAATGGCGATTGAATGATTCCTCCAGTTCCTCTGCAAATTATTCTTGTAATGTCCCCTACTTAATCTTTCATCCGGGACTTCCTTGAGAAGGTTGTTTTTGGGATATTACTCGAAATTAATAACCCCTCAAGCTGTTCGAACACTTTGTTTCTGAATACCACGGGCACTAATTCACATTTACATGAGTTCATTTTAATAACTCATGAGTTATGCCCTTTTCACTATTTCCTGTTGAAAGGACTAGCACTTTATGGCCATAACTACTTAATTGCCATGAACGAGCAGCTGTCAAACTGAGGAAAAACACTCCAAGCTAAGTCGACATATATACGACTACCATACCCCAAGGTATGATTCACCGGCAAAAGTAAATCGCCCGTTTGAATAATTTCAGACCTCAGGATTAACTGGGAGGAATGACTAGCTCAGTAATGAACAACCGCAAAAATCTCAGTTTTCAGCCTAAAATAGTGCTTAGTGCCCAAAAAAACTTTTCAAACAAATCCTTCCACATCCCGAGAGGCTTAATCGGTGAGTTCCCTTCCTCTTTCAATGAAAATCGGCTTCTCTACAATCCAGCTAAGCGTTCTCCGAACCGGATTAAGCGGCGTTTTATGGAAAGTGGCCCCGCCGTAGATCCATTTGTATCCGAATTCAAAGTAACGACATTAAGGAGAGACGTTCAGAGGTACGGATGGAACAGATCGATCAAAAAGTTTCTCAAGGAGGACTATCAGATCGTAATTCGGGGGAAACCTTCAATTAATGGAATCCTACCCTCAAAAATCTACGACAACAGCACCTATCACAGATTACACAGTGTACTTTTGATCCCAACGTCGAAAAGATAACGAAAAAACTCAGGGCTCATCATGGCCATTACTGAAACCACCCCTTTCTGAGTGAATGGAAGGTGTCTGATGACTTCAAATATTCTCATTCATTGCTAATTACACTCTGTCAATATTTCCACATGGGCGGTTTCCTTCATTCTCTACATGAAGGCGAAAAACGACCCAAGAATCCCGCTAGCAAAGCTGAATTTCCTTTCAGATTCCTGATACGTGCACATCTGATCGCTGATGGGAACGATGGAGTCATATTTCTGACTCATTAGCGATCATTCCGGGATTTTATGGGCTACGAAGAGTGCACTTCTGCAGCTATTTCCACTTTCTTGCAAAAACTTAATAGACGTTTACGTCTGAGGGTAGAGACGTAACGATGGTTCGGGTGGCTCCGGAAATCATTCACGTAATAGCCATCAAGTTCCTCAAACAGAGATCCAACTCCCTTAGTACTAACACTGAAGGAATAGCTGAAGGGCGAAAGCCATGAATCATTCACAGTCCGCTCAAGAGAGGCTTCTTAGCCAAAGCTTAGGAATTTCCATGGCTAACCTTTGCATTCAAGAAATCGCTTCTCAGAAAGCTTATAGAAGATTAGCGCCTTATCTGGNGCTCAGAGAGCTTTTTCGCCCAAGTCAAGACTCTTTCAAGGGAACTTTTCTTCAAATTTTCTGGAAATGAAGACGTACTAGTAGTACAAGGGAAGATTCCTGCTCGAAAGCATCCATGTGGGAAGATTCTTCCTTTTTCAAAAACCTTTCCATAGAATGAACAGCACGTTTCTCGCCTAAGAGTATTCTTGCGTGAAGATTTCCTCAGAAAATCTCTTTTCAGAGGGACTGGAAAATGAGCGGCACATTTTTATACAAAAGAATCCACGCGTGAAGTTACTGCAATTCCAATTAGTATTGAGACAATCACAAAAAAAATTGCAGTGAGAGCCTGAGGATTATTTCACAGTTCTCTGCTTTAGACATCCCAACGCCAGACCACATTTTCATAGTAAAAGCTCTTTTTCTACCGCTGGTTTTACTAGAAATTTATGCTGCCTTCCCATGCTGAACTTTGAGTAAATCATTCGGATACAATGCTGTCAAAACCAAAAATCTTAAAAAAAATTTAGCACCACATTCAAAAAAAAAAAACAAAAAGAAAAACTTAATCAAAAAATGCAAAAGACTTTTGCAGTGATAGAAATAAACAGTAATCATCTTTTTCGTGCAAAACACGATTTGAACGCTTCTCAGCCNTTCATAGTAAAAGCTCTTTTTCTACCGCTGGTTTTACTGGAAATTTCGCTGTCTTCCCCACGCTGAACTTTGAGTAAATCATTTGGATACAATGCTGTCAAAACCAAAAATTATAAAAAAAAAAATTTAGCACCATACTCAAAAAAAAAACAAAAAGAAAAACGTAATCAACAAATGCAAAAGAACTTTGAGTGATAGAAATAAACAGTAAAACTGAAATTTCCTCGTGTAAAACACGATTTGAAGCTTCTCAGCCATTTCTGTAACCAAAGAGGCTCTAACTCGAGGTTATCCGGGGCTTGGACTGTCAACTTTTTAGCGATTTAGCTTTTTTAGAAACAAAAACGGTAGTTAAATAGAGTTTCTGAGAAATTAGTCTCAATCAAAAGACTTAGAAATCGTAAAAAAGGACTTCATTCATGGAAAAACCCTAAAATCTACCTCTTGCAGTCGAATATGTTACGTGAAAGAGCACAACGAATAACAGGCAGTAACAGAATCGAGTAGTCATAATAGTAACCGTACTGGCATCTAAAAATAACTCTACAATGGCTTCACTATCTGATAATAATAAGCTCGGAAAATATAATTTGTTCAGTCAGCCACTGGCAGCGAAATACATCTGCTAGAAGACTGAACTCGTAAGAAAAAACAACGAAATGACATCTGGACGAACAGGGTATGAGAAAATCGACGAACGAAACACAAAAAGGAATGGACAGGGCCCGATGAGATAGATGGGAACCATTGATTCCTTTATGTTCAATGGCAAATAAGGAAGTTCGAAAGTAAAAGGGCATGAAAAAAGTGCCAGAGGTAAATTGCAGAAAAACTCCTGAAAGCATCAGCATTCCAAGAAAAACGAACTTTTGACCCAAACAAAAAGATCTCTTCTAAGAGTGGTGCTTCAATTTCATTCCGTGGTTCTACTTTCTCGAAAACTTGTCCAAAAAAAAGAAATGATAAAGAGAACCAAAAGAAAAAGGAGTCAGAGGGGTGAACGAAGAATTACCGGCTTTAAAAAACGAATTTTGATAAAATTTTCAGATATACCATTACCCAATTTCCAGGAATGCTAGTAATGAAATAGGAAAATCTAGTTAACTAGTAAATGGACAGCAAAATGACTTCTTAATCGTATAAAACACAATTGTATTAGCTTCATATCGAATCAAAATCGTACTAAAGCCGATATCCGTTGTATATGGAACGTGATGAAGCAGTAATCACCATTTTAATCAACGAATAGGTCCAATTTGTTTCCACAGATTACGGACCATTTAATTAACAAAAGAAAACATCAAAACTGCAGCTCCGCCTCCGAAAGGCTGATATATAAATTGATGACTACATAAAAAACTGAAACGGAGGTGCTATTAGACATTTTAGATAAGGAAGAACTAGGGAGCTTTAAAAGGGGACCAATTGATTGGAGTAGATAGAGAAAGAGAGGGGCTACAGACATTTTAAATTGTAAAAATATGAAACGCGAACGCAGTTATTTATTCCAGTAATTTCGATTAAATAAGTAACCGAAATGTGTCTCTATCGGATAGAAAGAGAAGCTGAAGAAAATGGCCAATTAATTAGACCAGAACAAATTTATCTTAAGAGAATACGAAAAACAAAAAACGGAACGAAGGTGTTATTGATCACTTCACTTTGGAAGATTTGAAAAAAAAAAAACGCGATAGACACTTTTTCTGGGGAGAAAAAGACTCTGAAGAGGAAGACGAATTAATTAGAAGGGATTGGGGAGGAAGGAAGCCTGAGCTTAGGGGAATGATGTCAGGCTGGTCAGTCAGCGAAGGCAGAGGTCATTGAATGCCAGGCCATAATAAACCGTATCGATCGCGGGCATAGACGCCCTGCCCCCTCGGAGGACCTCCTCAATGCTTGCCATTTCAAAATGTCGTCGTCGTCGCCATCACCGACAGGGGATGAGAGGAGGTGGACAGCTGGAAAGGGCGGAGTCAACGATGAGGAGGAGGAGCTTCACGGAGGGAAAGCGGAAACGAGTACACAATACACGAGTGCCGTTCAAAATGACAAAGATGTGAGTGGCCGATTAGATCGCACTCATAGCCAGTGTCCCTCAACGACCAACATCGACAGCAGCCGCCGGCTGATTCCTTGGGGAGTTTCAATCTCGGCTTAACGATCCACGAATGAAAGGACAACGAAATTGGTGACTAATATGTATGAGGATTGCAAAAGAAACGATTTTTTCAGATGAAATATTAGAAGAAATACTCACTGTGAAAGGATCCCGAGGAATGTCAAGTGTATGTCGCATGAAAACCTCCCAGGCCGACAGAGCCTAATTATTTTCATTTCCTATTAAAAGAATGGTACTTGTGGGAAACGGTGCAGGCGTCATTCTGGTATAAACTTTAAATGTCCCTCTCCCCATCTACAAATCGGAACAATGTTTATCTTACTTCACCTGATACATCCGAAAAAAGGTAAGCACTAGGACTGGATTACCGGCTCCCCACATAAATTATTCCCGAATTCCCAGAGAAACAAAATGAGTAAAAAGAGTAAAGAAAGAAAAGATTCAGTACCTATTTGATTTTCGATTATGTGCCATACATAGGACCATAACTCAGGGTCAATGAGGTAATTGAATCTACGGTGTAAAGACAGCACCTGCTAGGAGATTCATTGTTTAAAATGGGCCAGTGAACTATGGAAAAAACGTCCAATGGTGCTCAAGTGATCAGTGTAGGAAGGAAGTGATGGTGGTCATCTCGAGTTTTGAATATTGCCCGTTGTGAACTACATCTACCTCCTTCGCATCTACTTCTAACGCCAAACGTTGCATCTCAATTTGGACAACATTCTACATCCAAAGATGTACCATATAATACAAATCAAGAACTAAATAAGTAAAAAGAAAAAAAATTGCAATGATCAGATGTAAGAGCTACAACCAAAAAAAAAGAAGCCAAAAGAGATACTTCGGTGCCAGCAAGTGTTCAAAAGGGTTGGCAAGGGATGGGAAACGTGATGAGATCCAACGCTCCCCCGCTGGAGATGCATATATAAGGATAATCTGAAAAGGTCAGGCAGAAAGAGCAGTTCCAATTCGTCAGCGCTGCGTGAGGGTGGAATCCAAACAGAAATCTACCCCCAGACCAGCTTAACCCTTTCATTACTCGACGTTCTTCGAAATAATTCCCGCTCAAAGACTATTTGAGAAGAATAAAGTCTTGGCATTAAACAATAGAATTAATCAGTTCCAGTTTCAGGGTGCGCCCCACATTCGAGATCCATTCAAAACGTTTGAATGCTAGTGACGTTTGAATGCTTTTGCGGCCTATACAATGAATTGCGGTGGCTAGCCCATGTACAAGTCAGTGCTTTTATCCTCCCACACGGATCGGTAGTAATTAACCAAACCCGAAGGATGGAGACTCGGTTGGTCTGAGCGAGTACCGATCCGGGATTTGAACCCGTGACTAAGCGTGTGTAATAGTGCGCCACTTGGCTGTACCATATCCACGCTCAAAGGAAAGAAAAATAATATTTTGTATATCCACCGGTTCGCCCAGCCATCCGCATTACACGCGTAAACGATCATTTGCCATTACGAATTAATGTGGAAACAGGAAGAAGGGATTGCTTAATGCTGAGTGCTTCATTCGATTTCGCGAAAATGTAGGAGATTGGGTAAGAAGGGGCAATCAATAATTTAAAAGAAATTAATTACACCAAGCATCATGAGCGATTTTCTGAGGAAACTGGATGGCAGGGCATGGTGTTAGATCTCAAAAACGGAAGAAGAAGTTCTCTTGAGCAGAAGGAAATATTCTCCTCAAAGACAAGGTGTATGATCACTGTATGGACAAGCATAGTTACTTTCCATCAGTGGACTCTATCTCTTCAGTCGGCAATTGTCACAAAAACGACAGGAACGCTCTTCCTTCTGCTCTCCCCTTTTGAGGTAGTTTCCAAGAAATTGTGGTTCCAAGTGTTTATGTCGAGTATATGCGCATTTTTGAGGATCAAAGCTTGATTGCACGCATGACCGATCGCCAAACTTGTGCCAAGTTTACTTTTTTCTCATGCGTGGAATATTTTCCCAGCGGACAGCATTTTCAAATTTTTTTGTTGCCCTTTAACGACCAGTACTCACATTTTTTCGGATAGCGGCCCCATTTGATGCTGCGACCACCAGAAGGATTGGTCCAACACCCTTTTACTGTATTTTCCAGTAAACTGAGTGGGATGTGAAATGAGCAAAACTCATTCCCCATACCTGAGCAATGAGACGAGAATGAATCATGTTATTGGCATTGATGGTTATTCGGTATAGCTTTAATTATCCCGTGTAGACTATTTATTTGTATTTTGTATTTATATATGTACCTCTACTCTATCACACACATTGCGCACCCATTTCAATTGACGTTATTTGGTGTGTAACAACTAAAGTCGGTGCTTTGATGAATTCTGGATCAAAACTAGCTTTTGCCTAGTCTTTTTCGTCAGTCGACTAATCGCAAACTCAGATGTGACGACATGTAAGGAACGCTTGATTAAGGACGAGTTTTCCGACACAGTTGTTAGATTGATGCTAAACACTAATTTGCATTTATAGGCGTTTTGCCTTAAGATCCTCTGCAAAAATTAGGGATTGTTGCTATGTGGACTTTTAACGAAAAATTCATAAAAGGAGTGGTGCCAACTTGTTGTCACATTAATGGTAAGGGCATCTTCTATGGATGCTGTTCATGAGTAATTTACAAATTTTCCGCCCACTGGAACTGTAAAGAGTGATTCCTGAAACACTTTTTTGTACCGTCACTATCCCCATTCAGTTTACTTAGGCTCCTCAACATATTATCTCTTAAGAAGAGTAAATCTAGGCAGGGGCTGGTGAAGGCCATACCTTGGATTGGTTGTATGCTACATACCGGTCCATCTATTACAGGGGTCCACCATCACAGAGCACAAAAATTGTTAACTAAAAAGCACGTAAAGTATACTTTATATTCATATTTCCCACTGCAAGGGTGTACTAATGGAATATCCAGTAATTAA